CTGCTGGTGGGAATGCACACTGGGGCAGCCACTGTGGGAAACAATGTGAAGGTGCCTCAAAAAATTAAAAATTAAATTGCCTTAGCACCCAGTGATCCCACTTCTAGGAATATATCTGAAGAAACCCGAAACACTGATTGGAAAGAATATATGCACCCCTGTTTGTTGCAGCGTTATTTACAATGGCCAAGGTTTGGGAGCAGCCCAAGTGCCCAGGGGCTGAGTGGATCAGGAGCTGTGCTGCATTTACACCATGGACTACTACGCAGCCGTGAAAAAGAAGGAAACCTCACCATCTGCCACAGCGTGGAGGGGCCTGGGGTGTATTATGGGAAGTGAAATAGGGCAGGCAGAGAAACACTAATACCACAGGATTTCACTTATACGTGGAATCTAATGAACAAAATAAACAAAATAGAAACAGACTCTTAGATACAGAGAACAGGCTGATAGTTGTCAGGGGGCGGGGGTTAGGGGAATGGGTGAAAAAGGTAAACGGACTAAGCGGTACAAATTGGTAGTTACAGAATAGCCACAGAGATATAGATTAGAGTGCAGGGAATATAGTCAATAATATCTTGATAAGTATGTATGGGGCCAGGTGGGTGCTTGAAGCAGTGGAGGGGGGAGGGGACCACTCTGTAAAGTACGATTTTCTAATCACTTTTCTGTACATCTGAAATTAATACAGAAAAACATTGAACGTAAACTGTAATTGAAAAATAAAAAAAAATTGAAAACTGGTAAGTAAAAGGAAGTAGCCATTTCGAGAATGTTTTTTTAAATTTTTATTTATTTTTTTGTTAATCCTGTCCCGAGGATATTTTTTCCATTGATTTTAGAGAGAATAGAAGGGAGGTTGGGAGGAGGAGAGAGAAAAACATCAATGTGAGAGAGACACATCGATTAGTTGCCTCCCGCACCCACTCCAGTCAGAGCCGGGGATCAAACCTGCAACCCAGGTACGTGCCCTTGGCTGGGGAAGCCACACAGGATGACTCGCACAGCATTTGTGATTTTGGTGAGAAGTAAAGTGCAGTCCAAGTTTCCATGAAAAACAGTAAAAACTGTAATGTAGACTTAATCTGTGTTCAACTTCCCATATTTATTCCCTCTTCTGGATCCAGGACACACTTGACTCACCGACTCCAGTGGCTTGCTGGAGCTAGACGAGACCTTAGAGGTCATCTGCTCTGGTCCAGCTTTTTAATTCTACGGATGGAAAAGTGAGGCCTAGCCTGGTGACCTACCCAAGGTCCCTCAACTGGTTAGTGGCAGATCTGAGACTGCAAGTTGGGTCTCTAGACTTCCAGACCAGGGTTCTTCCTGCCACAGCCTGTTTTCAGGAGGCAGACCCAACAAGTTATTTTTGTGAAACCTGCGTACATCTTGGCTTATGGTCTGTTGCTGAGGCTATTTAGATGTTGGAGATCATGGGGTCTCACCACTAAGGCCAGGAATCACAAATGGATTATGATTCACTGGAGGCTACCAGACAACTGCTATATTTAAGACTTAGAGGCACAACTGATTGGAGTGGGCAGGGGGGACAGAGGACTGGTCATAGAGTTTCACTTATATAGCAGGCATATCTCTTGCATATAGATTGTACTTTTAATTGAGGAACCTGGGGGACTGATGGAGGTTATAGAAAGTGACAGGTCCCCTCAAGCCCCTCCAGGCGACATCAATACAACTCACTTGCATAATCACTCTTGGTATCTCTGGGAGGAGATGGAGAATCAGTAAATTACTTTTAAATGTCAAAGAATTTCTGAGATGCTCATATGATAGTGCCCACACTTAGCCGTCTACTGGGTCAGTAGATTGTAGTAGGTGAGAGTTAAGCTGTAGAGTACAACAAACCGGGTGCAGACGCAGGCCATGTCCCTCACCACTATTGCACCAGGCCTACTGTACAAGCTCAATGCACGTGAGCCACCATTATTAGTGGTGGACAAGATATAAAGGGACAAAAAGCCACTGTGGGTTCCGTTGGCTCACTTTCATTTGTATTTAAAAATGACAACGGCACCTACAAACCCCGGAATGATGTAAATATCTGTGACTGAACTGATTTATCAGACAACAGGCAATGCTCTGTGTGAAAATGGACGAATTTGAACCTGTTGAGATAATTCTTCTGCAGAGCCATTGGTCCATGTTGCTAGTACCTTGGATATAGTGAAGGAGCAGGGGTTTGGGGGTCTTACAGACCAGCTTTGCCATGTCCTAAAGGTGCCATGTTTGACAAGTTTCGGAATTTCTTTGAGTCTCCGTTTCCTCAAATCTAAAATAAGGGGTAACACCTACCTCACGGGCTTGTTGGAGGGTTAAATAATGTAATGTTCATAGGAACGTGTTGTATTCTCACCATCCGAGCAAAGCCTAATCATCTACATGCATTTGGAGGCGATGATTTCAAAGGCAGAGAGCCTGGACAGTGAGACCTTTATACCAAAGACCTTTCACATAACCCCACTGTCTGAGGACAGCAGAGGGATGGAGTGCGCGTCACACTCGACAGCACTTCCAACATTTTATCATTACTGTTATTCCCTGGGGGCACCTAGGGACCGCTTCTGCCCAGTGTCTGTCACCTCACTTAGTTCCTTCTCCATTCTTTCTTTTCCCTTTCTTGACCTTTCTCACTGTCCTTGGCCTGGAAGCCCCACATACGTGGCCCAGTCTGCCCTGGACTGGGTGGGCCATGAGCACAGCATCAATATGATGTCGCCACTGTCACTGTTGAAGGCTCATGTGTTCCTGAGGGCTACCTTGGAGCAGCTGGACTCATGTAAAACCCCTTCTTAAAGAGTGGCCCTGCCCTGGCCAGTGTGGCTCAGTTGGTTGGGCATCAGCCTGTGCACCAAAAGGTTGCTGGTTGGATTCCCGGTCAGGGCACGTGCCCACGTTGTGGGTTCGGTCCCCAGTCAGGGTGGATACGGAAGGCAACCTGTCGACGTTTCTCTCACATTGATGTTTCTCTCTCTCTCTCCCCCTGTCTCCCTTCCTCTTTGTCTAAAAAAGTCAATAAAAATATATTTATCAAAAAACCCCACCAGTGGCCCTGACTGCAGCATTGACAGTGGTGGTAGAACAGGCTCCTTACGAGGCAATCTGCGGTACACACAGAGAGGCAGGGGCCAGGAGCACATGCAAGGAGGCAGGTCAGAGGGCAGCTTCTGGAAGACACGTTCTCCTAGGAGTGGTGGTTTGTTCATCGCCAGGGAGCCCAAAAAGTGGTGTGACTCAGGGTCTTCGTCTCCTGCGCAGTCTCCTGCACACCTCTCTTCACTAGGTGGGTGTGTGGAAGGATTGTGTGCATCCTCAGAAACTTCTCACCCTTGGAGAAGGACCCATGTCGCAGTCCTTCCTCCCCTACGGGAACCATGCGTGGCTATTTCACGAACGTCCCTTGCGGTTCCTGTTCCCGGGCTGCGCAGTGCGCTTCAGCTCCTCCTCTGGACGTGGCGTGAAGACGGACACTCCCTGCTGGAAGCAATGTTCATCCCTGGCCAAATCCTGTTTCCCCGTTTCCTCAGAAAGTCTGGGAAGCCAGCAGCCACCTGGCTACTTCCTGGCTTTGTTTTAATCTCCCAGAGCAGCTGGCCATTCTTGGGTCCCTTTGTTGGGGGTAAATTGGGGCAAGGGGCCAAGTTCACATGTCGAGATCGGGTGATACATTGGCGTGGGGATCATGTGGTGATGGAATGAGGGAGAAAGAGCAGGGGGCTCAGCATTTCCAACAAACAACCGATGCAGGAATGGGAGCTGCTAGTATTTCCCGTTTATTTATTTATCTTTTCTTAGGCTAATTATCTGTTCTCAAATCTAAAAGTTGCTGGCCTTGCACAATTTTAGATACCCAGAAACAATCCACCTGCCTCCAGTACAACCTGGGGGTTCATTAAATTAATTAATCAATAGTGGCTAATAAGTGCTTTGAAACCCTTTTATTAAAAGGATCACCGAAATCCAAAGTACTAGTCTAATCAGGCCTAATGAGGTCAGTTGTTTAAAGAGAGGGCTTTAACCCGAATATAAAGCTCCTCCAGTGATCGGTGGTACAGAATGAAGCTAGGAAGAGGCAGGTGAGTGTACATGATGGTGTTGAAAAGTTCCTCCAAGGAGGCAGAGCCACACCAAGTCCGCTTGGATTGAAGCCCGCCGCTCAGTGATCTACTGACTAACGGATTCTGNCGGAGGCAGAGCCACACCAAGTCCGAGCGGATTGAAGCCCGCCACTCAGTGATCTACTGACTATTTAACAATTCTGGAATTGTTAAACCTACGCTATAGGACAAAAGCCACCGCTTTGTANAGGAGGCAGAGCCACACCAAGTCCGCTTGGATTGAAGCCCGCCGCTCAGTGATCTACTGACTAACGGATTCTGGAATTGTTAAACCTACGCTATAGGACAAAAGCCACCGCTTTGTAAAAGATTGATGTGCAGGTTGCTGTTGAATACAGAAGACCTTCTCAAACAGAGGGGGAGGTTTTCTCTGCTGATCCAAGACGGCTGGCACTAAACCTGTCGACTTGGATCAGCTGCCTTTTAAATGAAGCAGAATAGATTTGATCGAGAAAGAAATGGAGCACAGCAAACCTGAGTCATAATCTCCAATTCTTCTCTCAGTGGTTTATCTTGATTTTCTAAGGAGATACCAAAATGGGGACAAAATTATATTATGAACCAAGCCTGGAGATGAGATGGGAGTGTGTGTGTGGGTAATGCGTTATTAGGATGTCCACAGACTCATGTCAGTGTGATCCTGGAGTAAATTGAGTTGGGAGTTTATGCTTAGGAAAGAGAGTGATCCGATGGACCATCGTAACACTGGTCTATGAGAATGTCTTGGAACTGGAAAAAGGGTATTGAATTGGAAATGACTCTAAACTCTTTAAAAATCAAAGCAGTTCTCTTTGAGAAACTTTCAAGTTTAAAAAGTAACCAATTTCTCTTTCAAATCATAACAGGTACTGTAGGATAAGATTCATGACCATATATTCCTCTGTCCTGTTTGGGGGACTTGTGGCCCTCATTGGTGAGTAAGTCATCAATTGACGTTTAGCATTGTTCTCAGGATGTCCAGAAAAACATCCAGTCTGGTCATGAACCTGAGAGCAATATCTACATGCAGTGGAGGAGTGAGCTCTCCCTCTGACAGCCTGGCCATTAATCAATTGCTTATTGTTTTAATTAGGAGTGTATCCTGCTTGCTAAGCAGGTGAAGGCGAGATCAGTGGGAATGTACCCAGGCTGTATATATTAGCCTGGAAGGAGTTTAGGAGGAAGAGTTCACACCCAGTCAGGATGCTGAAACCAGAAAGGTTTTGTTTTTTGCGGGGGGGCATGAGAGTTGAAGAATGCTTGGTGTTCCAATAAGAGAAGAGCNTGGGGGGGGGGCATGAGAGTTGAAGAATGCTTGGTGTTCCAATAAGAGAAGAGCTCACTGGGTGGGAAGAAAGAGGCAGGTCACAGAGGCAGAAATGCAGGAAAATTGTTTGGGATACAGTAAGCAGGGCAGTGTAACCAGAATAGAGAGGAGATTTTTTAAAAAATATTTTTATTTATTTCAGAGAGAGGGAGAGTGAGATGGAAACATCAATGATAAGAGAGAATCATTGATCGGCTGCCTCCTGCATGCCTCCTACTGGGGATCAAGCCCGCAACCCGGGCATGTGCCCTGACGGGGAATCGAACCGCGATCTCCTGGATCATAACTCAATGCTCAATCTCTGAGCCAGGCCGATTTCTGAGGGGAAGGCTGGGAATGTAGGCTGGTGAGATGGTGACGGACCTTGAATAAGAACAGATTGAAACTTTAGTCTAAAAAAAAAGTGAAAAGCTGTTGTAAACAATGTTCAAATAGCCTTTAATGAATAAAGTGAAGATTGAGAAGAAGGTGTTTCTAAAATGTTTACTGTTTAATTCTGAACTTCAAAATGGTCCTGTTTAATTCTAAATTTGGAAAAAATGACCTTACTGAGAAGTGATGATTTCTTTGATCATTACTTATGGTCAATGGCAGGGAACATAATTTTAAATTTTTACAGCTTATTTAATTGCCAGGTGGGAGCAGAGTGAAACAGCCAGGAGACTGATCATGAGCTACCCCACGAGCTGNATCATGAGCTACCCCACTAGCTGTTTAACCGATAGGTGACTGTGATCAAGGAGGGCCTGCGTGTTTACGATGTGAACACAAGTAGTGTCTTCTTCCAATCCCCTTAAAGCAATGGTTCCCAAACTTCAGCATGCGGAAGAGGCTGCTGTGAATGCTGGTTAAAATGTAGATTCTTTGGCCTTATAACTAAATTCTGGCTCAGTAGACCTAGTATGAGCAGCCCTGAGATAGGCTTTTTCTTTTTTTTTTAAACATAACAAGGAACACTTTATTGCTCTCATCTCAGGAATCTCCAAGGGCTTTAGGAGCTCTGTCAATGAAGAGCAAACACAGGGGTAGGCAAAAGGAGGCTTACAGTTGTTCATATGGAAAAAACCATGCAGATTGTGATTATTACAATAACTTTAGTAATTTAAAGGAATGGCACAATGCAACTGTAAACTTACTTTTGCCCACGCCTGTATGTATTTCTTTTAAATCACAATATCACAATCCTTTTATGATTTTTGCCTGAATCAGTCCATACTAAGATGACTTGAAAATAATATGAGTGAGTTTATTTTCATGGTCCTTGACATCTGCTGGACTCTGGAGCAGGCACTGTCAGCAGGACTGTGTGGCAGTGCCTTGTATCTGCCTCCTGAGGTCCTGTTCCCTGTCTCCTGAGGCTTAGCTCCTGGAGAAGCTGAAGGAAGGTTTAGAAGGGTATGTTCTCAGAAAAAGAGAGGGAGGTTTGGAATCCAGGCTGACAACATCCAATACACGGATTGATCTCTTGGTCCATCTTGTCCTGGCTTCAGAGAAATAATACAATTGCTCCTGAGACCAGTGCCATTGTGTGTAGTTTCCATCTCTTGAACTCTCTCACGTCAGAGATCTTGTTCCTGGTCTTGTTTCTACTCTAAGGGCCCCTTAGGTTCTGTTTTTCTCTGGATGTGGAATCTAGATCTTTGATTTTGAAAACAAATTTGGACTCTTGACTCTGGAACCCCAATCTCCTTAGCAAGTCACTCTCTGGAATCAGTCCCGGGATGCGGGTAGTTCGCAAATGTCGTGGTGAAGGCGCGTCATCGGGAGGAAGTGTAGCTGCTATGACACTGTCTCCTCTACTCTGAATCTTCTCTACCGGGTGATCTTGGTCTTGACTTGCTTCCAAGTCCTCTTCAGGTTCAGAGCTTTTCTGGACTTAGTGCCTAGACCTTCTATTCTGAAACCAAATCTAGATTCTAGACTCTTCAGCGATGAATCCNAGCTTTTCTGGACTCAGTGCCTAGACCTTCTATTCTGAAACCAAATCTAGATTCTAGACTCTTCAGCGATGAATCCTAAAGCAAGCTTTTGTCTGGTTTTTGGTTGAATGCTTTGATGAGGATTTTCAACTCATCTGCTGTGAATTTGGTGCAGCTTCGGCTACGACTCATTGCTATGGTCTTGTTTGGAGAGTTGTCTTGGGCCATGTTGGAAGAGAGTCGTGAAGTCTCAGCCTTCAACCAGGAGACCGGGATATGCATTTTTAATAGGCATCCCAAGACACTTTGATGCCTGTGGTCTGTGGGCTACACATTAAGCATAGCAAAGGCTGCCTTCCCAGTGGAAGGACATTAAACCTGCTGACACAAGGACGCTTGATCAAGATAATTTAGGAAATTCATATCTTTCCTTCTCCTTTATTCGCCTGTCCCTTTATCTGTTCCACAAATAGTTGTTGAAGGTCTACTTTGTGCCAGGCATTGTTCTAGGTGCTGAGGATAAATACGGCAGAGAGAAAAATGGTCTAGTGGGGGGAACAGGCAGAAAGAAAGCGAGGGAGAGAAGGGGAGAAAGAAAGGAGGGAAGAACTGTCAGGTGGTGATAAGTGATATAAACAAAAAAAATAAGGAAATCTGTGACAAGGGATAAGGCATGAGTGTGCTGCCTTTTTAATATAAGTAGATCAGAAAGGCTCTTTATTAAGGTAACTAAAAACAAACTTTGTTATAGAAAGCTTCAAACAAACAAAATGGGGGAGAGAAATAGTATAATAAACTCCCACGGAGCCATCACCCAGCTTCTATGGTTTTCAACAGTGTGACTGGAGGGGGTGGTATGGGAATATTTTAAAGCAATTCAAAACATCAAAACACTTCACCTGTAATTTTTTTAGTATGTGTCTATAACATATAAGGACCAGCCTAGCACAGAAGATGTTTCTGGCTCATCTTGAACATTTTCTGCCCCAGACCAGGAATCAGCCCTTTCCCTGAAGAGCACTGATTCCTTTTAGTAGGAAATGGTATTTAGAGACCACAGTTTGGGTGTTAGGGGTTGTCATTTCTGGCCTTTCCAGTGGAGAAGACTAGAAAATACATATTGTTAAAGAGAAAAATACTTATTCATTCATATGGATATTTTGCTTTTATATTTAAGAATACAAGGAGTTTACATTGGTTTTATATTTGTACCTCTATGACCTTAGACTAAAAATCCTGGTTCCTAATGACATTAACATGATTACTTATTTATATATAACAGTTTCAAAATAACTATGACTGTATTACCAGCCAACAACAAGACTGTGAATATCACTTAAGATTTTCTTGTGATTCTTTATGTTCATCGGATGTGTTCCATTAGGGGTATATACTTACACTGACATGTTTGAAAGTAACTTGAAATAATTCTCCTCTATACCTTCAGTTTTCAATTTGATATACTGTTAGGATTATTATTATTTTTATTTTTTTAGGATGTCTTTCTATTTGATTTAAAATTTTAAATTATGAAAATATTTACATGGCTCTAAAATAAAAACTATAAAAAAGATACATTTAGAGAGCTCTAGCCTCTGTCCTTGTCCTCAGTAGGGGGCATGCAGGGGGCAGCCGATCAATGATTCTCTCTCATCACTAATGTTTTTCTCCCTCTCCCTCTCCCTTCCTCTCTCTGAAATCAATAAAAACATATATGTGTGTGTGTGTGTGTGTGTGTGTGTGTGTATATACTTTTTAAAAAGAATATTGTAATAACTGTGTATAGTGTCAGAAGGGTACTAGATTTATCAGGGTGATCACTTGGTAAAGTATATAAATGTCTAACTGATGCCAGATTTTCTCCTTACTGGGTTCTTTGCCTCATGGAGTTCAACAATGAAATTCACAGACAACTGAAATTCACAGACACTGGAAGAGTAAGGGAAAGAGTCCAAAGGTTTATTGTGCAAAGAAAGCAAAGCTCTCCACTGCCAGAAGGGTCTTGAAAGGGGCTGCCGCTGAGGCTCACAGCCTAGGGCTTTGTATTTCCTATATTTGTTCTTCATTGGCTCATTCTAACAATTCTACCTTAGCAACAGCCAATCCCTCTTTGTTTTTCCGTTTCCCATTTTAGGGGGTTGGGTATAGGGTAAACTTGTTTTTCTCATATCCTGTTTGCCCAGAACATTTCACCTCTGCGTGGTTCCCTTTTCCTCAGGGCCCCCAGCCCTAANTCAGCCCTAAACCGCCTTGGCCATTTCTAACTCTTCATAATCACTATGTTGTATACCTGAAACTAATAAAATATTGTGCATCAGCTGCAAAGAAAAAATTTAAAAACGTTTTCAAAAAATAAATAAATAGACTTGGACCTAAGCTCACTTCATAGTGAGACCAGATTTAACTTAAATTTTTATGGTAAGTTACATTTTATTTCCTATTAGATCTAGACAGAAACTCAACTTCACAGCAGCATGACATAAAAATGAATGTTTTAAGTTAATGGTACCCCTTTTCCTTCTCTTCCTAAACAAAGGCAATTGCTAATCCAGATGTTTACATCTGCAGAAGTATTTGTGTCAGAAGTATCTTCAAATTTCTCCCAAAGTTCCAGCTTAAAACTGTCGTAGCAATTCTGAGTCTGAGCTGGATCATAGTAAATGTTTCCAAGATCTGTTGGAATTGATTTTCATAATACTTTTAGAATTGTTGAGAATATGTGTAGAATTGTGTTGTATCACATCTTTTACGGTTGGAGTAGGGGAGCAGGGGGAATCGCCTGTTTTGTCTTATGAGCCATTCTGGGGTCCTGAGGAGGGACTTGGAGAACTAAGTCTATGGCTTTTCCTTTGGTTTAATAATGTTCATTATAGCAGCTCAGGCAATCTTTTCTCACAGGCTTCGTGGGAATTATCACCCCCCGCAGGCACTTGCAGGGGCTCTTACCCTTTTGGTCACTCAGTGAACCCTCACATGCATCCCCACGTGTGCCGTGGCTGCTATGGTGACATCATGACCATGGAGCCTCCCGGTGCTGCCTGCGATTTAATCGGGTTGATTAACTGTGGTGAGTGGAAAGCGAAGCAAACATCTGGCTTTCCCCTTTCACCATTTTCCTATTCTTTCTTAGAAAAATAGCTTCATTTTGAAAAGGCATAATCATCATTATAGCAATACTGCCAAAGTTAAAAATGAGAAGAAAACAGAATCCTGACCAACCTAACACACTACTTCTTTTTATTTTCCCCCTGTTCTTCCCAAACTCGTCCAGATGTGCCTCTTTGTACGTATTGAAATGATTGCTTGAATAAAATACTGAATTCTCGCTTTGTTTTCTGGTTTGCTGTTTTCACTTCACATTAGAGCACGACCATGGTAAGCAAGCCTTGTTCTTTGTATGTCCCCACTTTTGTGATTCTGTTGCAAAGTCTTCCTGTTATCCCAGCCCTAGAGTGTCAGAGCTGGAAGCGGCCAGGCCAGCCGATCCCATCTTCCCAACTTATAGAGCAGAAAATGAGGCTGAGCGAGCAGGAGAGACTTCCTCAGGGCCTGGAGCTGAGTACCGGCAGAACCAGACTCTAACTTAGGTTGGCTTTTAGCCTAAGGACCTCCCCAGTGGACCTTTCTGGGTTTATATGATCAGAGATCAAAAGGTGTCCTGGAATGACAGTCCCAAGCTGTGAGTGGCGGAGGTCATGGGCTGTGGCTAACTTATCACACTTTGCAAAAGGGTTTTCTTCTGGAGTAAACAGCTTATTTTCTATCGACTTAGGGACTCGTGGTTCTGAAATGTTTGCTGAAATGGATTTGAGGGCCCTAAAGCCTTACCAGACTCTGATCAAAGAAGTTGGGCTGAGGCACTGCGTGGACCCAGCTCTCATTGCAGCCGTCATCTCCTGAGAAAGCCCTGGTGGAGCCAGCCTGCAGGATGGCTGGGACCACAGGGGACTGAAATTTGGCCTGATGCAGGCACTTAGCTAGGAGCTTTCGATGAGCCCCGCTTCATCTTTCCTCGCAGAGACTCAACTCAAACTGGAAGCCACCTGCAGTGTTTCGAGGCTTTAGAACACCCTGGTACTTTAGCACAATTTGTATTGTGATGTTTGCAGTGCATTTTTGGTACTTAATTGGAGATTTATCAGTTATTGGATATCTTTAAGAAAGTGTTCTATCAGTTTCATAACTGCAATTTTGCAATAAATAATACGCAACGTTACTTAAATTGAGAAAATCTTATAAAGGGCATTATTACTATAAGTGCCTTCTTAGGGTTCATGAGGTAGTCAGTTTCATCCACGGGGATCAAAACACTATTATTAAACCCTACTTAAACCAACTTGTTCTTAGACAAATTGGAAGACAATCCAAATTAACTGGGTATTTGTTTCCAGGCTCAATTTTATATCATCTGCAGAAACCCAGACTTTTAGCCTCCTCAGCTAGAAACAAATTTATATTTTGACTGCAAATGTGTAAACTTTGGGAGCTAATTCCTTTGAAACAACTTTTTTTTTTTCTTTTAAAATTTGTCCTTATTGTTGAAAATATTACAGATGTCCCCTTTTTCCCCCATTAACCCCTTCCACCCCGCACCCACTCCCTGCCCCAGGCCTTCACCGCACTATTGTCCATGTCCTTGGGTTGTGCATATATGCATATAAGTTCTTTGGTTACTCTCTCCCTGATCACCCACCTGCCCCCCTCCTTCCCTCTGAGATTCATCAACCTGATCCATGCTTCCATGTCACTGAATGTATTCTGTTCATCAATTTATTAAGTTCTCTAGATTCCACATATAAGTGAGATCATGTGATGTTTGTCTTTCTCTGCCTGGCTTATTTCGCTTAGCATAATATTCTCCAGCTCCTTCCATGCTGTCCCAAAGGGTACGAGATCCTTCTGTACAGCTGCGTAGTATTCCCTGGTGTAAATGTCCCACAGCTTTCTTATCCACTCATCGACTGACGGGCACTTGGGCTGTGAAACAACTTTTCATTTATTTATGTACGTGTGTGCATTACAGTGCTTAACTAAAACTGTGCCACATCCACTTCTCCCAAATTTCACTTTGTTTCTCTGACTCTTTTCTGTGAAAGAAAGGACTGTAGAACTGATCCTGTGGGGATAAAGGATGGGACCAAGGCCAGTGTCTATGAACTTGAACCCCAAATGGAGAAATCAGGAACAGCAGGAAAACGTGTCTCTTCATTCAGATGCTGATGTTACTATTTGAATTTTCTAGCTTGATAAAAAAACTTACCACCCTGTTGGTTCCTGGGACGGCAAAGAACACCTTTGGCAGGCTGTTGGGATTCTGACAGAAAGAATCAAGGCAATCCAAAGAAAATTCCCCATGTGGAGTGTGGCTCAACACCTCTAAGGCAGGCCATATTTGGGTGCTTTGTTTAAAAGAGCTGTGAGTGAGGCCCCTGAAGACCAGAGGTATGCGGGCCTCCCTGGGAGGATGCCCATTGGGTCAGCAGTGGGCCTGGGAGAAGCTGTTGAAAGTGCTCCCTGAACCCCTGAGTTGCTGTGAGTGGCCTTTCTTCCCAGCTTTCGTTTCCTTTCTGCCAGATGTTGGGGTTCCTCTTGTAACTCTCTTTGGCTATCGAGCCATTGGGTGAAGCCTTGAAAGTTAATGCAGACATTTAAAAGAGTATGTTTACCTTCCTCTGGTAGGTTTCTTTCCTGATGCAAGAAGCTGTTAATTGGTTTCTGAATTGTGTGGACAAAGTTTTACTCTGTGAGCTTTCCCAGCAACAAGGGGCTTCAGGTACCATGATATATCTAAGTGGAGATCTATGCCTGGCTGGTCACCATCCCCCAGACAGAATTAAGTCACTAGCCTCCACTATAAATTGGCTCTTTTTTCTACATTTATTTTTGTCTCTGTGAAAGGCACCATCATATATCCAGCCATCTCATCCAGAAAACCAGATTGTTTTCTTAGGCTCTCTGGTTCCTTCCCTCGTCACATCCAACCACACCAATTCTTACTAAGTCTACCTCCTATAGACCTATAGTGTGTATATAGCTCTCTCCTTCCACACTTTATGGCCTTAATTTAGAATAAACAGTTTCTATTTTCTATTTTAAGGTCCTTGAAGGCAGGGATCAGAACCAAAGCCCTTTTTCTCTAAACATAAGAGTAGAATACAATTATGTTAAACACATAAATAACTTTCAAAGAACACAATTCTAAGGTTTAATACACATATGCACAGACACGCTTATTACACACATACCCTTACCAAGAAATGATTCTCTCTTGGGTAGCATTGTGTACCCTGCACTCAGTGTGGCACCCATCTTGGCACATAGCAGGGTGCTTAAAAACATTGATTGAATGAATAAATGAACAAATGAGTGGATTATTAAATGACTGAGAGAATACTATAGGTATTCTCAGACTGAAGGTTTGCTGGGGATCTAGTTTTGCAGACCTGGACTACATGAGAAGCAAATTGACTTTTGCAGCAAGAAAAATGAAAGTATTTTAAAAAGAGAGAGAGAAGGAAAGCAACCTGGAATTTCCCCAGTGATTCTTGAGGTAGTCCTTTCAGGAGTGGAGGGAGTGAGGAGGATCTGGGACTGCCTGCTCTGGAAGATTTGCCTGGATGGAGGGCTAACATCCTGGGAATGGTCATATCTTATTTTTGCTGAAAGTTATTATTTCAATCTGAACCTGTGTTTCATTTCAGGTGGCCTCTTGGCCTTTAAATCAGGAATCGAAACCATTGCCACCCTCACGGACATAGAATCTGAGTTGGTCAATGATACTCTGGCCCGAGCGAAATTCTATAAAGGACACGGCTTCTAGGCAAACCTCTGTATGTGGGCCGGGTGGGCAGGTGCTCAGCTGGCCCCTTTCTGAGGGTTTGGCATGATGCATTGTACCCACACTGGCAAAGGAATGGTTGCAATTGTGACAGGAAATTAATTTCCCAACTTTTAAAATGCAAATAAGCATTAAAAAATAAAACCTAGCCCCGCTGGTGTGGCTCAGCAGTTGAGCATCGACCTATGACCCAGGATATTATGGTTCAATTCCCAGTCAGGGCACATGCCCAGGTTGCGGGCTTGACTCCCAGTGGGGGGTGTGCAGGAGGCAGCCGATCATCATTGATGTTTCTCTCTCTCTCCCTCTCCCTTCCTCTCTCTGAAATCAATAGAAAACATATTTAAAATTTAAATAAAAAAAATAAAACCTACCCAGTTCTCAATATGGTTCCTCTGA